TGCAATTGGAACTTGCACAACATAACCAAAAGTTCTTGAATGGGATATATTAGGCTGGTGTTCAAATACAAGCTGTGTTGGAGAGTGTTGATGATATATAGTGGATATTAGGCGAATTAACGTCGCAACATGTAAAACAGCATGAGCCTAGGAAGATGTCGGTAATTACATACATAATAGCAAAGTTCTTTCAATTAATTGGATACGCTTTATAAATGACTCTGCATGCCATTCTGGGTATGTACATGTGGTACTAGGTGCTGAACATCAATTCGCATTACTGTACAATAGTCATCAAATGTCTTTGAGGTGAATTCACCAGCATGGTCCAAACAGATTGATTTAATTGGGTAATCTGGAAAGTGAGCCCGTAATCTGATAATTTGTACCAGCAATCTAACAAAAGCAACATTACAAGTAAATAGTAGACAAACATGTGACCATCGTGCGTCATGCTGATGCATTAATCAATACCATAAAGTAGCGAAAAGGTCCACTTGACGGACGTATAGGTTCACATGTGTCCCTATGAATCCTTTGTGAAAATGATGGGGATTCTATACCAACGTTTGTGATATATGACTTAAGTGCCAATTTGCCTTGTGAGCAAGCAGTACAAGCACTCATTAGGCTAAAGAATCTTCAGGTTCTTTAATGAGTGCCTATGTGAGTTTTCTATGATTCTATGCATCATAGTAGATCCTAGGTGACCAAGACGATTCTGCCAAATTTAAAAAGTTCAAGATCAATGAACTTCTGGTTCATGACTGCATATATTTTAATATTCTTCAGGAATGTGTTATATAACCCTGGTGAGAAAGCAGAGAGTTTCGCCAGTACATACTTCTAGCATGAAATATTAGCAATGATGCATAGAAACTCTCCATCCTTTTCACTTATGGTTTCAATGTGGTATCCATTGAGTCATATATCTTTGAAACTAAGCAAATTCTTCAAGATTTGTCAGAATATAAAGCATTATGGATACTTAATTTAGTTCCGCTTGGTAACCAGAGTGTTGCTCTTCCAGAGCCCTCAATTATGTTTACAGATCCTGATATGGTATTTATTTTAACCTCAGTAAATGTCAAACCTGAGAAATATTTTCCATCCTGAAGGATGGTGTGCGATGTTGCATTGTCTACTATACAAATGTCTCCACCATTCCTGGATATCAATGTCTCAGTTTCGAAGTTGATCATTAGAAAAAAAAAAAAATTATATTAGTAAGGATATTTACAAAACTTCATCTTCATGATGTGCAACTTCAGGTCCATCTTTTGTCTCTCTTTTGCTAAAACGATATTTATTCATGAAACTTCAAGTTTATTTATCATATATAAGATGGAAGCACAATTACTAACCTTGGTTGACGAAAATATAATAAATGCAGATCCAACCATTAAGGTTGTATTCAACGATAATAAACAGATCCGATGAAGGCGATATTCAACAATAATAAATAGATCTAGCCATGAAAGCGGCATCATAACAATGATAAATAGATTCGACCATAAAGATGAAGTTTAACAATAATAAGTAGATCCGACCATAGAGGTGGAATTTAACAATAATAAATAAATCCGACTATAGAGGCGAAACTTAATAATAAATAAATCCAACCATAAAGGTGGAAATAGAGATTAAAGAACACCTGTAGGATTGAAATACGTACTTTCAATAGGGTTCCACTGTTACACTTGTTAAGCTACTAGTTAGTAATAACTCAGAAAAAGTAAAGTAAATAAAATAAATAACAAGAACCAAAGTGAGAGAATTGAGAGATTTGATTGATATAACTTAAACCCTCAAAATTTTTAGATGTAATGAATGAAAAGGATAAGAGGGTATTTATAACCATCGCAACCCTCCACTTTCACTAGCTCTAGTTAAGGCGGTGGATGGGCATATAGTTTACAACACTCTTCAAGTCTGAGGCATCGCCTTCAAACACTTAAATGTCTTTTTATAAACCACATGTTTCTTGCCTTGAATGTTATCTTCCCAAAAATTGCAGTCCATGCTTTGAAGTTTTTAATGTAAATAGCTTAGAAAAAACTCCTACATGTTTCCTTGGTTTTTTCTTTTAATTATTTGATGCCAAAACAATAAGATCACTGAACAATCAAGGAACGATTGATACGATAAACCACCACCGAATTGTATCAAGTTCGGATACTGAATTGAATAAGCAACCACAAAAGGTTCTTAACTTTCATAAATAAAAATAATCATCTAAAAAAACTGCCTATTATGGCTATAACAACCTTTTTATAGTTTGCCCTAATAAAAAAAACCCTAGAAAAAGAACATTAAACAATTGTTACAAAAGGTCCCAAAACATTACAAAAGTTGTAAATAAACCCAAAAAACTCTAGAAGTTTGCAAATACGCCCCTAAAAAACATAAAAAAAGGCCTAAAAACCCAACTAAACAATTCTAAAAGGCTAAAAAATGACAAAACTCATGTCATTTGCATGAGCCTAACTTGTTTGACCATTTCAGAGTGCCATGCCAAAATTTGTTGCATTTTGGCATCATCGACACTATTTAGCATTGTTCGCTATTCATACGGCACTGTTCACTATTCATTACTGCATCATCCTCTCCCACCAAAAAAAAAGATTCGTCCTCGAATCAATGACCGCATGCTCCTCTGTGTCGCTATCTACCAATTCATCTACATGGTACGATGATAAATCCGCAACGTTGAAGGTGCTGGAAACATTATACTCACCCGGTAACTCAATCTTGTATGCATTGTCATTGATACGCTCTAGAACTTTAAATGGACTGTCATCTCTTGGTTGTAATTTTTCAAATCCGCTCGCTAGAAATCGTTCCTTCCGAAGGTGAATCCACACCAAGTCCTCTGGTTTGAAAACAATCTGTTTGCGATGCATGCCTGCCCACTGTTTGTACCTTTCATTTTGCTTGACAATACGTTTCCGAACCTGCTCGTGTAACTCCTTAATCAACTCAGCCTACTTGTCAGCATCAGAACTGAACTGGTTAACAATTGACAATGATGCCAAGTCCAAATGTGTGATTGGATTACAACCATTTACTATCTTGAACGGACTTTTCCCTGTTGTGCGATTTTGAGACCGATTGTATGCGAATTCTGCCAGTGCCAACACCAAGTCCAATTGCCTCGGGTTATCTCCAATCAAACTTTGTAACAAATTTCCCAAGCTCCAGTTTACTATTTCAGTCTGCCCATCTGTTTGTGGGTGGTGAGAGGAACTAAACTATAATTTGGTACCCATTTTTCGCCATAGAGTGTGCCAGAAATGACTCACAAATTTAACATCTCGATCTGAAGTCAGCGACATAGGAACTCCATGGAGCTTGACAATTTCCTGTAGAAACAACCTCACCACCTGTGAAGCATCGAAAGTTTTGTTACAGGAAATAAAATGGGCCATCTTCGAAAATCTATCAACAACCACCATAATGGAGTCTTTATTCCATTGTGTTCTTGGCAACCCCAAGACAAAATGCAAACTCACATCCTCCCACGGTGTTACTAGAATAGGTAATGGTGTGTATAAACCTGCACTGGTACTTCGGGTCTTTGCCAAATGACAAATTCTACAACACTCTAGAAGAGCCCTAACATCACACTCCATACAAGGCCAGTAAAAATGCTCAGACAGTAAAGCTAACGTCTTATCCTTCCCGAAATGTCCAGCTAATCCTCCAACATGGCTTTCAATAATCAGGGATTCCCTCCATGAACATTCAGGAATGCATAGCCTATTCCCCTTGAACAAATACCCCTCTTGAATCAGAAACTGCTCATAAGAACCACCCTTACACTTTTCCCAAATACCACTGAAGTAAGGATCATCTCGATAAAGGTCCCTAAATGTATCAAACCCCAGTACTCGCACCTACATTGTGGAGAGTAAAGAATGGCGCCTACTTAACGAATCTACTACTTTGTTAAGAGCCCTCGATTTATGTTTAATGGAAAATGTAAAAATCTGTATGAATTCCACCCATTTAGCATGTTTGGAATTGAGTTTGTGCTGCCCATTAATGTATTTCAGTGCCTCGTGATCAAAATATAACACAAATTCCTTTGAAAGTAGATAATGCATCCAATGCTCTAAACTCCTTACTATCACATAGAATTTCTTATCATACGTAGAGTACTTCCATTTTGCATCATTAAGCTTCTCACTAAAAATGGCAATTGGCTTGGTCTTCTGGCTCAATACTCCCTCAATCCCAACATTCGAAGCATCACAATGAACCTCAAACACCTCTCCAAAATCTAGCAGTGCCAAAACTGGAGCCTCTGTAACTTTGCTTTTCAAAAGTTGAAAAGCATTTTCAACTTCTTTGGTCCAGACAAAACATCCACCCTTCAAACATTCAGTAATTGGTGTGATAATGATGCAGAAATTCTAAATGAACCTTCTGTAAAATGATACCAGCCCATGAAATCTCCAAATATCATGAATGTTTTTCGGTGTTGGCCAACTCATTATTGCCTCAATCTTGGCTGAATCCATTCTAATCCCATCTACTGATACTATATACCCCAGAAACACTACGGAGTTAGTGAGAAAGTGGCACTTCTTCGAATTTGCATATAACTTCTGCTCACGCAACACCTTAAAAATCTGCCTCAGATGGTCTAAATGCTACTCCACTGAAACACTATAAATAAAGATGTCATCGAAATAAACAACAACAAACGTACCTATGAATGGCCGAAACACTTGGTTCATAAGTTGCATGAATGTACTCAGTGCATTAGACAGTCCAAACGGCATTACCATCCATTCGTACAACCCATTGCGAGTCTTAAATGCTGTTTTCCATTCATCCCTTAGTCGAACTCGTATTTGATGGTAGCCACTCCTCAAAGCTATCTTTGAAAAAATAGTAGCCCCACAAAGTTGATCAAGCAAATCATCAAGTCGATGAATTGGAAATTGGTATTTGACAGTGATTTTGTTGACAGCTCGATTATCAACACACATCTGTCAAGACCTATCCTTCTTTGACACCAATAATGCTGGAACAACACAAGGGCTCATACTTTCTCTGATTGCACCTTTTTCCAATAATTCCCGAACTTCCCTTTGTAACTCTTCATGTTCTTTTGGACTCATCCGATAGGTAGCCTTGTTAGGAATGATAGCTCCTGAAACAAAATGAATACAGTGTTGGATGTCCCTCATAGGTGGTAACCTAGGGGGCATCTCCTCCGAAACTACTTCACCAAACACATCCAATAATGTTTGAACTTGGGGCGAATTAGTGACAACCTCATCATTCTCTTCTAGTATGACCAAAGCAAAAACCTCTTGTGATTCTTCAATCGCGTCCATAATATCTGACTTGGGCAGTGGGTGATTCATATTACCCTTATTGTCTTGCCTCACATCCAACGGCCCTAACGTGATCGTAATACCATCTTTCTTGAAGGTGTAAGTATTTTTGAAGCCATCATGTTTCGTCCTCCAATCAAACTGCCAAGATCTCCCTAACAAAAGATGACAAGCATCCATTGGTATGACATCACACCACCCCTCATCCTAATGTTTTTTTTTTATTGAAAATTGCATAAGAAACCATTTGTTCACTTTTACTTCATTTCCTTTTCGAAACTAGGAAAGTTTATATGGTTTAGGATGTTCTTCTGTCTTCAAATTCAACTTTTCTACCATAGATACAGCAACAACGTTTTCACAACTACCCCTATCAATAATTACCTTACACACTTTTCCCTTCGAGGTACACTTTCTATAAAAAATGTTGTTTCTCAACCACAGCTCATCCTCTATTGCAGCAGTATTCAACAATCTACGAACGACTAAAGACTCACCTTCATGTGCATAGATGATTTTGTCTTCATCTGAATCTGTTTGTTCATGTTCTTTCCCCACATCACCATATATTGGTGCAGCATCTTCCTCAATCAAGGTCACAATCTATAGATTTGGACAGTCTACTACAAAGTGCCCAAGTCTTTGACATTTGAAACACCGTTTCCCCTTTCCTCCTATTGATCCAGCCTCAACTACCTGTTTACCCTTCCAGTTTGCCTTAGAATTACTACCATTCACTGCCATTGTCGTTGGTTTCATAGATTTTGAACTTCCTCAACCCCCTAAGTACTCTTTTCTCGAAAAACGATTTGAATATTGTGAACCGCCACTGTTTTTCACCTTAACTTGTTTTTCAACCTTTATGGCGAGTCAGCAAACATCTTCATACATCCAGTATTGTTGTAATTAGACAACATCCGAAATTTCATACCGAAGACCTCCCAAATACCAAGCAATTGTTTGTTCATCTTTCTCAGCCACTTCACATCTCATTCTAAGCCAGTCAAATTCATTTGTAAACTCTTCAACCGACATACCACCTTGTTTAACATTGTGATATTCTATAAAAACCTCCTATCGGTAATGTTCGAGAAGAAATTTATGTCGCAACAACTTTTTCATCTTATCCCAACTCACAATTTTCTATTTTCTCTCCCTGGACCATTGCTTCTTAATATATTCCTACCAAATCAAAACATGTTTCCTCAATTCTATTGGGACCAATTTCACTTTCTACACTTCCGAAAAATCCATTAAATCAAAAATTCTCTCAACCGTATTCATCCAATCAATAAACTCATCGGGATGAGCCTTACCATCAAACTCTGGAATCTCAAGCTTCATTCCAATATTTGGAGAAAATAGTTGGTTTCGTGGCCGGAATCCTTGACTACACGCACTGATGGAACCCTTAAAAGGATTGACGTCTTCCTCATTCTCATCGGTTTCTTTTACTGATTCCTCCTTTGTTTGGGTCTCGATTTGCTCAAGAAACTGTTGAAGATCTTGAATTTGTCTCCTCATATCGTCCATCTCTATATCTCCCTGGTTAAGTGGATGATCAGTAGTGTCCTCCCCAAGAGCAACTCCATAACCCCTGCCACGTCCTCGCCAACCTCTACCACGAGTTTGTTCAGCCATTGGTATTAAACCTAGCTCTGATACCAAATGATGCTGAAACAATAAGATGACTGAACAATGAATGGACAATTGATACGATAAACCACCACCGAATAGTATCAAGTTTGGATATTGGATTGAATAAGCAACCACAAAAGGTTCTTAACTTTCACTAATAAAAATAATCATCTAAAAAAACTGCCTATTACGGCTATAACAACCTTTTTATAGGTTGCCCTAATAAAAAACCCCTAGAAAAAGAATATTAAACAATTATTACAAAAAGGTCCAAAAACATTCCAAAAGTTCAATAAACCCAAAAACTCTAGAAGTTTGCAAAAACACCCCTAAAAAGCATAAAAGAAAAGGCCTAAAAACCCATCTAAACGATTCTATAAGGCTAAAAAATGAAAAAAAACTCGTGTCTTTGTCACCAGCCTAACTTGTTTGGTCGTTTCGGAGTGCCACACCAAAATTCGTCGCATTCTGATATCGTCAGCACTTTTTAGCCCTGTTCACTGTTCATATGACACTCTTCATCACTGTTTATTACTGCATGATTATTTACACTTCAATCGATTTGGGTCGTTCTGAAAAATATTTTCTTTTATACATTTAAACAAACTTAAATAATGACAAAGTGTCACTCGCTCAAGGTCTCACATTAAACTCCAAGAAGAGCTTCACCTACCAACTAGAGCAAGGGATCCTTTGAGACAAGAAAGAATGGCCATTGGATTTAGCAAAGACCAGGATTCGTTACATGTATCCCATCACACAAAAATCTATAGCTATAAATTAAGGAAGATCACGCGACCGAAAGGATCCAAACCTAAAATCCCTAACCTTCAATTCTTGAGAAAAGCAGACCTTCCTCTCCTTCTCAGAAGAATAAATACTTCATATATATACTACATTACAAAGACTTTTGTGACAAAAATCACTGACTTGAGTGTTGAGACACTCCAACAAACCGTCTTGCTAGCCCCTTTCTTACTCTATGGACTCTTCCGCAGACATTAGACCTTGTTCTTTTGCAGACATTCAAAGTCTCCAATATCTACGTTCTTCATTGTGGCCCAAGCCCAAAGTCTAGTGACCCATCCTAGTCCAAACAATGTTAACTAAGGCCCAGCGAAAATCTGGACGTCAACATATTGAATCATGGAATTGACTTCTTCCTATTTCCTCTCTATAATTTTGTTAAATAATAATAATAATAAAATAATAACAAAGACCAATACCACTATTTTTTTCTCTCCAAATTATAGAGATTTAATTTTTATTATCTTAAATAGTGCTGTTAAGAACTTGTTAACTTGTTGGTCTAAACATGCATTAATTCAAAGAGTACTAGAGGGAAAAAGAAAAAAAAACTTAATTTTCATATTTCTCTAGGAGGTTTGAAACTATTTTAGGCAGATTTTTTTTTATAATTAAACCGATCTCTTAGGGGATTTGTAATTATTTTTTAAATGTTGATGAAATTAAATGCTTCCCATTTTGTTATTGAAATGCTGTTTAAAGGATTTGTACGATCCTTTTGTTTTTACGTAAAGAAAGTTCACCCAAACTCCAAATATAATATTGAATATTCCACACGTTTGTGTTTAATTTTGTGGCTGCATGTATCCGAATATGAATATTGAATATTACAAGTCAAACGAATAGTATTATGAATAAGTATTGATCTTTTTTTTCAAAGCCGAGTTTCTTACTAAATCAATGAGTGAACAGAAGAAAGAAAATTACTGACAGTGAGAGACTTATTCCAAAACAAATTCAAAGGAAAATGGAAGAAACAAATAAATTAAGAGTCTCTCAGTTTTAGACGAAAAACAAACATTTTATGCATGCGGAACCTTGAGGGAAAATGATAACCAAAGAAGCAGAATAAAACAAAAAAGGATTATTCTTTGGTTTTGTGAATTCTAAGAAAAAACGAAAAAACGAAAATTCCACACGTTTAAGTTCTTGCCACTGCTTGTATACAAATGTCAACTTTTTGAAGCCATACTTTATCTTGGTAATAAATCGAAAGGCAATAACATTTGAACTCAATTAAGGAGATATTTTTTATTTTGGGTTTACAATTTTCTTATTTGGACTTTATGTAAATATTTTTCACTCGAAACACATTTATTTAATTAAAGGACCTTAAGATTCATAAATTAAATTGACACAGTTTTTCATTCGATAATTATGTAATGTGAGTATGTGACAAAAGTATCTAAATTCATTTAGTTTGTATTGGGCTAATATAACATTGAACCCTAATTTATTACCTTAATCTTTTCAGTGGAATGACAATATAACAGTTTGTTTATATTTGCGGAAAAAGTCTTTACTGCCTTCCCAAGTTTTAATTCCTGAGTGGTTGAATCTTTGTATGCATGTGCATGGACATTGAACAAGTTTAATATGAAGCAAATTAAACGCCTGTAGAGAATAAGTTGAAGCTTATACGAGAGCACATACAGATGAGTCAACAGCGGCGGTTAATTTGATTATTTTGACACAACGACAATTCTTTTGACAGAGACAGCTACCTACTCGGCCACTTAATTTCAGACTCTCGATTGCTTTACCAAGATTTTCAAAGCAACTTCCTTCTAAGTAATTATCGTCTAGCTTTTGTTTGAATGTGTCAATGATTAATTGTCTCTTGGTCAATTTGACTGAAGTCTATAAATATCAGCTGGCCTCTCCTTGAAAGAGCACATTACTGCATTCTTAATTCAAAAAAAATTCAGCTTCGAAGTCGCATTATTGTTTTCTTTTGGGCACCAAAAGAGGTGAGGGATTTCATCTGAGTTTCTGTTGTTATAAACTTTCAATACCGCCTGCTAAAATATTAAAATTTTGGTTATACTAATTCATGTTAATATCATAAAATCACCTCACACTTAAAGACCAATTTTGATTAATTTATAATAACCACTTGACATTATATTTTTAATCATACCAATTTTCCATTCAATGATGCAAGGCTAAGTGCTTGTAGTCCTTGGAAATTCTATTTCCAGTTTACTAATCATCAGCTGATGTTTCTTTCTTGCATTTTTATTTATTTATTTATTTTTTTTATAGATAGCAGGCACTATAAAATTCTTCACTAGATCGTTGCAAAAGAAAAAGTAGAGTAATGGGTGACATAGCAAAGAATTGGAAGGAGTTAAGTGGCGAGAATGATTGGGAATATCTATTGGATCCTCTCAACATCAATCTCCGCCAGTATATAATTCACTACGGCGAAAGGGTTCAAGCTGTTTATGACTTCTTCAATCAAGACAAGTCCTCTCAGGTGTATGGATTTCCTCTATATGCACCCAAAGATCTCTTCTCCAGTGTCGGCCTAGAGAAAGGGAATCCTTTCAAGTATACCATCACCAACTATCTGTACGCAATGACAGATATCGATTCCAGCATTGATTGGATTGTCAAGGACCAATCTTCTTGGATCGGTTATGTTGCCGTGGCCACGGATGAAGGGAAGGCTGCGTTAGGAAGGAGAGACATTCTCATTTCCTGGAGAGGGACTCTTTTGACCGGCGAATGGTTGAAGGATGTCAATTGGCCTCTAACTTCAGCTTCAAACTTACTTGGGGACACTCATCCTGATCCTCAACCTCATGTGCACCAGGGATTTCATTCGCTCTACACATCGTCCAACCCCAAATCACAATACAATAACTTCAGTGCCAGAGATCAGGTATCCAGAAAAGCTCAGATCATGAGAGATTAATCCTAATCTTAATATATAGTCATCTTGCTTTTCAAGTCATTAATGAGTAGTTTAATATAGTTAACAAGGAGTTTTTTTTTTTTTTTTTTTTAAGCTAATAACTCGCATATGCAGGTTCTGAGTGCAGTTAGAAAATTGGTAGATAAATACAAAGACGAGGAAATCAGTATAACAATAACAGGTCATAGTTTGGGTTCAGCGCTTGCGACATTGAATGCAGCAGACATAGTTTCCGGAGGATATAATAAGCCCACGGGACCGGATAAAGCATGCATGGTTACAGCTTTTGTGTTTGCGAGTCCCAAGGTTGGAGACAAAGGCTTCAAGACTGTATTCAACAAACTCAGCAATCTTCATCTCTTGCACATCAGAAACATCA